AAGAAAAATAGCTTGATTGCTAATCTAATTAAGAAAGGAGAAAGTATAACAGAATGCAAAGAATTAACAAAAAGAAAGAGTCAGAATAAAATCAAAATGAACAGAACACTATCCCTCTAAATATTTGCAATATCTAGTTCCGGCAGCACTTAAAAATGAAACCATATCTAGTTTTTGTGACAACAAATTGAAACAACAGCATTGAAATCAATCATTTTCGGAATCAGACAGAAATTTACCATATTTTTCTTATGCAGTGTTTTCTTTCTTCATTATACAGTACTTTTGTTTGTGACCCAGCCTCAGAAAGGGTTGAAGTGTATACCAACAGACAGATTTGAGCTCGGTCACAAAAGACTTTAATACTCGAAACGGGATGATGCGGCCAGAATAATAATAGCGCATAGTGATAGGATGGGCGATACGATGATGTCATCAAAGAAAAACAATTAAACACAAATGCTTTCTTGATTGTAAGGAAAGAGTCGAGGAAAGAAAAAATGTCTGTGCCTGCGAAAATCTGTCCACGATGGTTCGTCGACAGAATAGAAAAGAAAAAGCTGTTACAGAAATAGATTATTACTTGCGAGGGAACATTCCCAAGTGAGGCACTCCGATTTCGTTGAAACCAGGCAACTTATATGTAATCAAGGCCGCTGATTACGAATATGATAGTCATTTATGCCCATAGACCTTTCCTAGCGTTTCTGTGGAAAACCGGTTTTTCGAGAAATCCCGTGAAATCCTAGCAATGTTTTATCAACATGTTGAGATTGTAGCCTGAGCATTTTGCATCAAAATCAGACGCTTCCCAGCTCTCCACGACCTTTCGTTGCAAAGTTATAGGATTTACAAGAGAAGCCCTACATTAATTTTCCTTTTTCTTTCTATATCTCTGAGCTGACAAAGAACATTTAGGGCTTCTCTTGTAAATTCTATAACTTTGCAACGAAAGGTCGTGGAGAGCTGGGAAGCGTCTGATTTTGATGCAAAATGCTCAGGCTACAATCTCAACATGTTGATAAAACATTGCTAGGATTTCACGGGATTTCTCGAAAACCGGTATTTGGAAAAATAGCGCGATTTTCCCTGTCTTCAGAAAAAAACATTATGAGAAAGTTCAGAAATCGTTAATATAAAGCTTTATACGAAAACGATTTACCTTTCTTCCTACCACAAAAACAGTGATCGAACATTTTTATAGGGTTATAATGTAGTTAATCGCTGCAAAAGAGCGATTTTTCATAATCAAAATTAAATAAAAACATTTTTGCTATGGCAACAGATACCGGATCGAGAAGATATTAAATATCTTTGAAAGAGCTGTTGATGCGCTATCGAAAAATGAATAGCTGATCTTCTCAGTATTTGTTCGTTAGCGCCGAAAAAAATTCGCATAACATTCTGAGAATCAATGGGAAGTGTTTGACCTCTAGAAATTTAGAATTTCATCACTGCAAAATATAGGCAACATCGGTTTTGTAGAGAATTAAATTGCCCATCTTTCGAAAACAGATTGAATAATCTGTGTTGTATCTGGGCTGAAATATTCGAAAAATATAAGATGTTGCAAAACTTCTGTGATACTCGGTAGGTAGGGAAATGTTCACAAAAAATTGCTTACTATAGGAAACAGTGTATGCATGTATTTTAAATAATATAGTACAATTTTTTCAATTTTAAAATAGATAATACATATCCGTTTCTTAACTAACATACAAGCAATCTGAAACATTAATTGATTTCTGTAATATAATTATTGAAAGAGGGTTTCAGATTTTCTACGAATCATGTCTCAAGTTCCCGATGACAGTTGGAGCTTTCGTCTGACCCGACCATTTCTACATGTGCTTGTTGAATTTTTCAAAAAGTTTTGATTGTGAAACTTTGACGTAAACTTTATGTTATATTTATAATAACAAGTTGAGGTGAAGTATAAGGCTCGAAGCAATGCTTTTTCCAGGATTTCTTTCATGTTCTCGCTCTCTTACTACTGGAATGTCGTATATGACACACTAGGGAATTTAGTTTGCTAAACACAATGTCCACTAAAAGATAGGATTTGATTCCCTAGAAGAAGCATTTTGCTTTCGGACAAGTTGAAAAATCTTTGTACTAGAAACTCAAACGGAACTCATTTCTACGACCGGCTTTGACTTCTCTCAAGACAGACATGTTCAGCAGTACTACACAATGTTGTCATTATACAATTTTTCATTACAGTCTTCTTCATCATTCGTTTTATCTCTTGTTTTAAATTCCATAGTAACTTCTTGCCTACTTCTTCTAAAATGGTTCGTCTAAGTGTATGGTGCCCATACGATCTGCATTGTTTGTAGAAGAGCTGTAACATTACTTTATAATTAATAAATTTTCTCACACCGAGTTAACTGGAGTTGAAACTTCAATGATGAACATGGGGTTATCTACCACTCTAATAGAAAATCTTGCTAGATTTGGTAACTAAAAGTACAAAGACCCTTAGACATACATAGGGATTATAGAGCTGCACAAAATATCATCATTTGGTGACTTATTCAACAAATAAATACGTCAGAAATATGAAAATACTAGCTTTCAACCACTCACTGTAATCGTTATCAGGCATAATAACGCTTGTAAACATTTATCACTTCAGATCATATTTTTTTCGTCTTTTTTTCACACGTTCTCCATTTTTTTCTATTAATCATTGCTTGGAAAAATACTTTTACACAATGACTCTTGTTTTCTTTCATGAAAAAAAGTTCTATTATGGACGTATGATACGTCCATAATAGATACTGAATACGTGACGTATCCCGTATCTCACGTACATGTTTTTAACTTACACATTTTTTTATTGAGTCATTCACCTTTCTTATTATTATTTATTTTATTCGTCATTTTGTAATAAAAAGGGCGGATGAAAAGATTCAGTATCAAAAAGTGCTGAATGTATATAAAGAAATAGTAGTAATAGGCTCTGCTATTATTTTACGTCATGTCTTTTGTCACAACTAAACTTCTCTACCCGTATCCCAAACCGCCGTCTTATTCTATCGCATCTCATCCAGAACACTTAATTTGGATACCAACGGCAGATGCAGCAACACCACTGATTCCTTGTTTCTATTATCCATCTGAATCTGAAAACGCTAGATTCTTTCTGATATTCTGTCATGGAAACGGTTGCGATATTGGAAGCATGCATACTCTAATGATTGATTATCGATCAGCTTTGAACGTGCACATTCTAGCATTTGAATTTCCCTCGTATGGTCTCTGTTCTGGCACACCGTCAGAGGCAGCAATCAACAACCATACGAAACACGCTTTTCATTTTGTTCACAATATCATCGGCTGGCCTGCCGAAAATATCATTTTCTATGGACACAGTATGGGTAGTGGTACAGCATGTTTTGCAACATCTTATTTTCTTCAAAACCACATCCCCATCGGTGGTCTAATACTCCAGAGTGCATTCAAATCATTATCTGACGTAGCTCGCGATACACTTGCTATATTTCGATATTTGTTTACCAGTATTTGGAATAATGTGGAAGAAATGAAATTTATTACATGCCCCGTACTTCTCATGCACGGAGCACGCGACTCACTCATCGCATTGGAACATTCACAACGTCTGTGTGATGCATGTGTATCAGATAAGAAACATTTGGCGGTAATCGATTATGGTGATCACAATACAATTAGAGCTGAAGATCGCGTCGAACACATACGACAGTTTTTGAATGAAAACTTTTTAAACAATCACCAGAGATTACCGTTGCCTAGTTTGCATTTGGATGAAAAATACTGGACAGCTCCAAATTCGGTTTCCCAGCCTGCTGTTGACACTGCGACCGGTGGATTATTTTCGAACTTATTGGGACTATCAACGGCATCAGTGAATGTCGTCTCTTCGTCCCTGAGATGGACAAGATCATCCTTGTCCTCCTAAGGATAAAACAGAAAAGAATAATGTAGATCATAACTTTAATATTGAATAAAGTATTTTTTACTTAAAATATTTTCTTTTGCTGGCTCCGAACAACTGAGAACGATAACATATGTCAGTGACTGTAAAGTTCAATATAAATCAAATTACAAATGGCAAAGAGCTTGGTATGCCACACTATCAGTACCGAAGTACTGGTACTGATCGGTACCGGTACTATAGTCGTAACATGATGATAATTTCTAGAAATGATTGGTATCAGCGCTTTAGTAGCGTTCATAGAAATAAGAATAAGCAATTTTATGCAAACCACTCAGTCACATATGTTATGTAAGAGACGAAAGGCGTAGAGGTAAACTGGCCGATCTGCTTTTGGAATTTTGATACGTTGAATTGCGAATTTCGAAATTCCCAATGCAGAAATTCCGATGAAATTTGTGAAATTACTTTTAGAAATTCCTGCTTTCGTCAAAATCTGTCGAAATGCCAGTGCAGAAATTCCGTTTACGAAAATGTCGAAATTCCAAAGTAGATCGAGGAGTAAACCGGCTTAGAGAACAGCTGAAAAGAATATTCGGAATCATAGTCATAGATATTAAGATGATATTTCGTTGTCTGACCCGTCCAATGTTATTATTATCATCTTTCATTTCTTTTAATATATGTGTCACAGTAGAAAAATAAAATTTCATTTTCTATTAGAAGAAATTAAAATAAGCGGCGATTGTAAGTTACACTAGTAGAAATTGAAATTTTAGTTTTCAAGATGTTAAAAAAGAGGGTAGGAGGATACTACCCTTAACAATATGTAATTCCGAACTACGTCCTACTGATTCTCGAACAATACCGACACAACATTTACTGAAGCTTGTAAAAATTATGTTAGTGGTGGTGTTATTCTAGTTTTGGAAGTTTGTGCTTGTAATGGTTAGGCATGCACCGAATAATTGACTAAGGATTTTATATTTTTCAAAAAACCTGGCGTTTCGTAAGTTGCTTCGTTAAAAATTTTCTGACTCGGCAGGAATATAGAACAAATATTTCTGCATAAAATGAGAGGTTGGACAGCTATGCATGATTTGTTTTAAGATTTTGGTAGCAATACCTCAAGGACACACAATCGAATAGTAAACAAGTATCGAGTACTCCACGAGTACTTGGTTAGTGCTTTATGGGATATCTCTGCCGAATTCTCAAAACAAATCATACAGAGTTGTCCGACCTCTCATTTTTTAGAGAAATGTTTGCTCTATATTCTTACCAAGTCAGAAAATTTTTAACGAAGCAATTTACGAAACGCCAGGTTTTTGAAAAAATATAAAATGCTTAGTCAATTACTCGGTGCATGCCTGGTATACTACAAAAAAATGTTCATGCAAAGCAGTTAAAGCACAAGTACTTATATAAAGATGTAAACTCTTTGACATATTCAACAATTTCCTGTGCTGCTGTCTCTATTGCTAATCAAAATCATGCGTGTACTTGTACAAGTCAGCATTCGTCTAAATATGTATTTTGCTTTCTACTACAGTTGAACTTAAAATACTTCCATAGTATAAACTTTCTAGTAGAATTTAAAATTCTCCGATAGTAGCGATTAAAATTTTAATTTCTACTAGTGTAACTTAAAATCGTCGCTTGTTTTAATTTCTTCTAGTATCAGGAACAAAAAACAATTTCAAACAAAGCGATACCTGCTTTTATTCTGCGTTCCAAGGCGGTTCGAATGGCGTCAGAATGAAAGTTCCATCTCTTTACAGAAAACACTGAATAGGTTTGTGAGTAAATACGGTTGAAATCGCAGCCCTCCAAAGTTTGACGAGAGATTAAACACTTCTCGTGGCTCTGGAACCTTGAAATACACTTCACTGTATGCAGTTTTTCACGCGGAAGGTTCTAGAACCACTGAAACCGAGATTAGTCTGATTTTCCAAAAACAGGACCTCTCCAATTTTTTGAATTGTTTTCGTAGAAAACGTACACCAGGAAAATTGGTAACATATTCGTGATCAGTGTGAAAAACTGCACTGAATGGTGAATCTTTAAGCCAGAAATAAAACAGTGCTTTCCGTTGGAATTTTGAGCGCCTTACCAGTATTCATGATCAGTATTATGCGAACGGCAGCACAATTTTGACTTTTTCCTTGAAATTTACAGAAGTTTTCTGGTTTTCCCACTATCAGAATTTGACTTCAAACTGACTATAAACAAGTGAGGCAATGAAAAAGAAAAGAAAGAGAGTTGTTTACTATACAGAAGTTTAAGCACATACCGCCGTCACTATGGTTAAATACATCGTCAAATATACCTTTACTGTGACATGTATCAGTGAATACTTTTAAATCCCACGACATATCAAGTTCAGAATGAATAGCAAAGTAATGACGTTGCAAATAACCTCAATCTAGTTTTAAAAATTATAAAAGTATAGGGGAACGCTCAGTACACCATGGACCAGTTCGAAAAGGAACCAGGAATTTTCGTTTTGTTGAACTATTTCCATTTTTCGAATTGAAATCTAGAACTTTAACAATTATCGAATGAGGGCGGCGTCCGTTTACACACACAACGTTGTCGATGAAAAAATTTCACACACCTGGTTCTTGTTTTCGTTCACAGACAGGCATCAGTACAACAGCTGTAAAACCTCGAGAAAAGCAAATTTTTAAATATAAATTCCTGCTAATATATCCTAACACAAAACTAACTACCGTTTTTCATTTGTTACTCTAAACTTCTTGCCACATTCCACTATGTATTCAACTTTTGCTGCCTTCAGTGTTCCTTCATTTGTAAAATCACCTAGTTATAATTCATAAATAATTAGGTCCTTGTTTTCTGGTAGCTGATGCCCATCGTACTTACACAGATAATCATCAACAGTACGTTGTCCACTACTTATTGTAAATAATGAATTTCGTGTACCTTTATCATACGATATCGTGTACGGATCACTCACACAGATCCAACCATCATTCATAGAATTTTCTTCGTTTTTCGCATTTTACTCCACCAGGACTTTTACTCGTTCGTGAGAGAATTTTAGTTTCTCATCTGCATGACATTACACCATGTAACAATATGATATGCGTTGTGAAGAATTTAAACCAGCGGCGGCGGCAGCGAATGGGTTTTAAGTTTTTTTGCCTTCTGCAGCGTCAGCGTAAAATTATCTCAGAATATTTGACAAAAATCGATATCTCGAAAGTTGCGCAGTTAACGGGACGTCAGGTTCGACATGTCTAAAAAACGTTTCAGCCTGCATATTCTTGTGCAGTTTTAACGCATCTTTCGGATGGTGTATAATAAATTAAAAAAAAATTTCACTTGAATTTTGAACTATCTGTATGTTAGAAAACGGTGATTTTTTGACTTTTTTCGCAAGCTTTTTTGAAAACTCGATTTTTCCTATGGGAAAAAACGTACGAAAGACGAAAAAGGTTCTTATATACTTAATTTTAATGAGGATTCGACTGGAAGTGGTTTCTCGGCGAAAAACAATTATTTAAAGTATTTTCTGTTTTTAGTCCTCTTTAGCTGTGGATCTTGTGTAACCGTTTTGATCCTGAGTAGTGTCGAGTTTATTATTTTTTTAAAAATGCATCAGATGCAGAATTGTTTGCTTTATAGTATATCAAATTTTCATTAGCCACCGACGTTTGGTTACTTGACTGTTCAGGTTTTTCCAGAAAAACCTCGATTTTTCAGAACCTCAAAGTTCCAGTAGAATCCTTTTTTCCGGCTACTGTTTTTAACTTTAATTTTTTTCAAATATCAGATTTTGTTCATTTTCCTACACTCTTTCGAACGAAATGTAACTCAAAGAAAGTGAATGAAAATTGACGATTTTGTACATAAAAAGCTGAAACTGGCCAGTTTTTTGGTTTTTTGGGTCTAGATGTTGAGAAAAATTGATTTTTTTCCAAGAAAAAGGACTCATAAGTGTAAAAAACATTTCGTCGCTCCAGTTTTTCATACAGAATCAAATAATGTAACTTTTAGTAAAATCTGGTTTTCGCGATTGACCGGTATATTGACTTTGATCCGGCCTTCTTTCTTCATCTATATTTGTTATTACCCAATATATTAAGTTAATTAAAAGCAAACATTTGAATTTGGAAATTTGTTTCGAAGACATTATTAACAAATATTATGGAGTCTTGTTTTCTTAAGCAACGCATTAGACAGGAGAGGAGAGGATAGGATAGACGACATACCAACTTTCAAGATATATCTTGTGATGAGTTCGAGGCTTATTGATTGCTACCAACAGAAAACAGTAAATTTACAGGATAAATTGACTGCCTTTTGAGGATTTTCAGTTTTGTGCAGAATTTCATTCTCTACATTTTCTCCCATCGGTACCACCTCAGAAAAAGGTGAACGTAAGTCTTCTTCAGAAACAAGGTATAATAGATCTCAATAAAGAGTGAGATGATCAAAACTTTTCTGAAAAATTAAGTCGTGCTGATTCTAGTGGATTCGATACGTATAAAGACAAAGTTGTAAATTTTTTATAGTAGTTACATAGTGCAGAATTCAATGACTTGAGTGAAATAATGAAATTAGTATCAGATATGATTACAGATCAAGTATTTAGAATTACAGAGTCGCAACTTATTTCACCCTGGAGTAGTTGGGTGAAGTTACAAAGGCTATTTCAGAGAGAGTGCAACATCATTTTATTGTCGATGAAAAACAAAACTCAGATAGTTAAAATCGAGAAGATCAAGAAAAAGGCGAGAGTAAGCACAATACTATTGAAAAACAAATTAATTATAATGCCAAAGATTACACGATTGCATATAGTCAATGTGAAATTATTCATCATTCTCAACAACAACAACGACACAACTAATTGTGGAACAGTAGATAATGGAACAAAAGAATATGCTAAAAACATTAGAAAAAATAAATCAGCAGAACTTTCTGATATGATAGCATTGGCTGCTGAAAATTCTTTAGCCATATAAAATTAGTTGGTGATGCCAATTATCAACCTATAGAGGAAGACAACGCAAAAGGTACCAACATTGTCATCTACATGATCATACGATATCAAACGAATGTCGCGCAATTTTCCACGTCCCTTCTCAATTCCATCATAGAAAATTACCTTTTTTGATACTCCGCTATTATTTCTGTAGTTTGTTCTATGTGTGTAGTCTATTATTTCCGTTACTTGAATTAATCTTTGTAACTTTTTAGTAACACTTACAGCATTTTCTAGACTATTACAATAAGTACCTAGAATATTGACTTTCTACATTAATTGTTTAGATAGAGTAGTCATATCTTAGCTGTAGAAGCGTTTGCATAATTGTTGGTGCAGCCATTTCTTCACTCAAAACTTCAAGCGCTCTGTGAAATTTCTTGATAGCTGCTTCTTTATAACCTAAGTCTTGTTTCTGTCCTCGAGCGAATCTTTCTTTACCTTGTAATAATAACCAGCCTTTTCCAGCAAAAGTAGCCGCACTATGTTTCGGATCAAGTTTTATAGCGCATTTGAAATGTTCCATCGCTTGCTTATATTTACTGTTTAGATTAGAATCATTGATGATGAAGTCATTGACAATGACAATATGGTAGTAAGGATTTTTAATAACACAATTATCATTGTAATCTTTAATGATTTTTTCTCTAAATTCTGCATATTCTATATGAACTTTTTCTGTGTCGATACAGGATTTTTGATCATCGATTTTACGTAAAAACATTGCCCATTGTTCTTCAATGCTGAGAAGTACATTTGACTCATAAACCGAAGGAGTGACATTTGTAAATACATTTTTAACTTTATTTTTTATTTCTAAAACTAAATCACTTCCTTCTCTGATTACTTTTAACTCATACTTTTCAAAGTCGCTTAACATTTTCGCTTCAATTCTATCTCTTAGCTCTGTGATTTTCTGCATATCAAATTCCTCATAATGAATTAAATTCGTAACATTCAATATTCTTTGGCTTGTGCCTCGTTTACCTTGTTGTGCGGTTCTACCGAATGCTTGTTCTTCAACACGTTTATTAGATGGCATAAACGTGAGAATAACATAAAGATCGCCATTTTTTTCGGTTTGATCGGTTTTTATATCGGTACCTCGTCCTGCTAGGTTAGTAGCTATAATAATCTCTCCGGGGTTCGCTATTTTTTATGTTTTTCTCTTGATTCATATTGTTCGTCGTATAGAGTTTTATCGTACTCGAACGATAGTTTCATTGAAGTTTTTCTGCTATTAGTATGCTATGTTCAATTGTCTCACAAATAAGAAGAGTTTCTCTTTTCTTTGCTCGATTCATTGACTGTAGAACGGCAAATTTCTTCAAACCAATCAGTTTCATTCATGGCCACAATATCAGGCAACGAAAAATATTGTGATCGACGAAAACTAGGAATCATAACAAGATTTACCTTCTAAACATCGACTAATACTTGTTTTGCTTTTTCAGAACCGAGCGTTCCGGTAAGACCGAACAAATTCGGGCCATATCTGGTAAAATATCCTTTATTCGACAGAAAATTTGTAGTAAAAGTCTCTGATGTCATGTTTTATCTGCAAAAATTGATGCAAACCATTCGAAGAACTCTGCACCATATTCGTACTATAATACTGGTTTGATCAATCCTTCTTGTATGACGTATCTACCCATTTAGGTATTTGGCTATGAACAACGTCTTCAAAATTTTTTGGTATTTTAATGTTTTTCCCAATTAATGTTCTCACGTAATCCTCTAAATTTTTCTTAATAAATGTATCGATTTCAACGTTTTCTGAAAGAGATTGTCCTGTATGACTTATATCCGAATTAGATTCTATATAACTTTTCTAATCGGAGATTTTGACAATTTGTCCTTGTTCATCGGTGTATTCTAGAGTGACTTTTTCTTGTTCAAAATTGGCCCGTGAATATAATAAATACATTTTGTCGTTAAACCTGATAATTTTATCTTGCAGAGGAACAAGTTGATGCCACAAAAAATGAGATATTAGCTGTAATTGATCCATACCGGATATAGTCGTCGCAAGTCTTGCAATTTCCGAAGTAGCATCAATAAGCATGCTATCTGCTTCATCCACTATAGCAACTACGCAGCTTCTACCTGCCAAAGTACACTGTTTTCTGTTGGTAGCAATCAATAAGTCAATAAGTCTCGAACTCATCACAAGATATATCCTATGTAAGAAAACCTCAGTTTCTGCGCCTTCGATGTTTTCCATTTTCGTGTCTTTCACCGACATCGTTCCGATTATAACTGCTACTTTAAAAGAATTCTCTTTTCAGAAAAGAGCGAACTGTTAAAACTGACGCGAATCTATGTTAAAATCATGAATTGGTCGGTGTTGATAGACCTCTTTGAAAACAATGTCCTTTTTGGAAAAATTTTCCATTGGTTTTGTACGCTCCTTGACGACAGCAGATGGGATTTCTAAATCTTGATCCAGTGAGTGTTCAAATCGCTTTAAAACTGAAAACAAACATTGCCAATTGACACGCCATGGCGGAAAAACCCTGTTTCGATATTTTCTAGAATGACTAAGGGTCATCCGGCCGATTTTGAGGGTCGCGAGAAAACGCTCATAGCTGCTTAACTGAACAAGCAAGCGAGCCTGGCCTTTCAAAAATCGAAAGAATTTGATTCTTTCTATCGAATGATCACCCTTCGATTCAAAGTTTAATGAAAAACTTTTCTAGGACATTGTTTTCGAAAAGGTCTATCAAAACTGACCGATGGTCTATTCATGGTTTCTAACATAGATTGATGTCCCAACTCTCTCGAAGGTTAAAAGCCGCAGGTCTCTATCTCTTTTCGTTCTCGAGTTACTCAAAAAATGGCCACTCACATGGACTTTATGAACGGACGATAGTATTTGTGACAGGCGATATTGAAATTCATGGCATCACGAAACTATTCTGATCTGAGCTAGTTGACTATCGGACAGACAGCCAAGAGACAACCCTGTCTAGATGCATAAAGTTGTTTCCACAATGAAATCGTTATAGTCAATCATTGTTATTTTGTACTAAGACTGAACATCAGCTGTTCATTATCAAAGCGAACGAGGGATGAAGCGATTGAGCAAAGCACATCTGATGAGATCCAACATTCATGCTTTGATAATGATCAGCTGTATTTAAGCCAATAATTTCACTTTTATGAATCTGATTTGTATCCGATAGCAAATTAGTAAACATCGGAATCATGTCATGCTGTCGTTTTATTCCAGTCTCAGCTCTGATATATTCTCGTAGAGCTCTATCACTGTATTCATTATTGTGTTCCTAGGTTTCTTGAGTTTATCCAAGAACGATGCCGTTCAAAGCAAAACAGCTGATTCGAACAAAATACCACTTTTGATTGAACTGTGCGATCAATATCCAATAGTATTCGATATTCGCTGGGCTCTCTCGTTTATTCAGATATGAGAAAAAAGAAAAAAAATCTCGGTGTATGGATCAATGTTTGCTTTCCTTTACCTTTTATCGTTATCTTTGCACTTTCTCTGTTTCAAAGGAAGAATAAAAAAGAATCAACTTGAAATAAGTTCAATCTTACTGTAATTCTGAGTCAATATTGTTTTTATAAAAGAATAATATCACTTGGTCTTTTTCAGCTGAATGAAATTTAGTTTCTGCCGTGTAAGAAAAGGAAACACATCGCATTATACAAAAAGACGCATATCAATCACACTCATTCTTATAGTACATTGCGAATTCGTTTGTAGTAAACTATAGAACTATTTATTACATTTTCGTATAATTTTCAGTTACCAATTGAGAAACCTTCTCAAGAAAAAGGCGTCGAGGCCATTAAAACTGCAACGTATTTCAGGTAAATAAAAAACTCTAAGTAAAAATTCAGAAGTAATATTAAAGGTAAAACGGCGACGATGGAAGAAAGGACACGTCTGGTGCTCGTTAAACTGGAAAACTTTATTTATTCCTAAACATATAACGTTTTCGAGGTTACAAGCAGCACATGTGCTTGTTCAAAACGCAACTGAAGACTCGAACCTCTGAGGTGGTGCAAAAGGCTTCAAATGCTTAGATGGGGATAGACGCCGCTGTTAATATCGAAGAACTTCAAATATTTTATTAAACTCTCGCCAGTTATGAGCATTTTGTTTATGAATCAGTTAAAGTTTTACGGAAAAACAGTAGAAAGTTTGCGATATGTTAAAAATATATTTCAAATTTATAGGTTTCAAAATAAAGATGGCTATTGTGTCAGATGCTGTTTTTCTTCAGCATTAAAATAAAATCTAAACTGTTCAAAAATCCCATCTGGTTGTTAATCCATACTCATTATAGAGTATTGAGTGTTCAACTTTTCATTTAACACAAAACAACGGTTATTGAATGCTGGTGGTAATGTAAGGAAACTTTCTAGCATATCCTGGAAGTAATTAGAAGATTGATTACAAAATGGAAGCTTTGTAGGAAGATTTAGAACTTTTAGAACTGTAAAATAGCTAGTAAAAACTATATTTCCCATATACTTTGGTAAAACATCAGCAAAATGATGTTGATTGCCACTAACATTATTAACTGGTGCAAATTCGACGCTTTGCAAAAACAACATACGAGTAATAAACGCATATTTACTTTCCGCTACTGTTGACAATAAATCTTTTAATTTCTGATATGCCATTTCTATAATCTCATTTCGCTCGTTCATACCTAAGAAATCTAAATTGAGATTATGTTTTGCTATACGAAAGATTGATATTTCCAACCTTTCATACACGCGCTCAACATGTTTTTAATATTATAAACCTCCTCCCAGAGTAGAAGGCCATGGCCTTCTGTCATGATTTCGCACATTGCGCTTTTTTGATGAAAAACTGCTCTATCCCTATAGAGCGTTTTAGAAAAATTTTCGCTCCAGACTTGCCTTCTATTATGGAGAGGGGTTTAACGCAATTGCTCTTGTGAAAACTCGTTAAACTGTTTCATATTAACCGAATCGGGACAACATTTTCAAATCCTGAATCGGTTCGATTCAATTCGCGCCAGTTCAATGAAAAATAAAACTTTCTTCTCTTTTATTTTCACACGTTTGTTTAAAATACACTGCCTCGAGGTGGAACACTTGAGTAGAACATGTCATTTATGTGGCTGGAACTTTGAAAGATGAAATAAAATTCTCTTTCAACTGCAGCTGAGCTACAAGGAATTGAAAAGATCTCAACATTAATGATCAAAAACTGAGCGAATGTCGGTTATGTGCGATATCCATTCTGGTGCACTCAAAAATTCTATCTTTGAGAATGAATTTGAGTAGATGTCTTAATAACTCGGTAAAAGATATTATATGTTGCTTACATTGACTAAAGCGTATCAACTGAGCGGATGATTCGTCTTTCAAAAGTCAAATTCGGTTCGATTCGACTCCATGTTTCAAAATTCCACTTGAGACTTTCTGAAGCCATTTCTGGGTGAAAAATTTTCATAATATTGATTTTTAAAAAGAGGTAAAACTACATGAAATTCTAAGAAATAACCAAAATTTTCGTATTTATTCCTGATCTATCATTTTGAACCTAACTTTTTCTGATTCGATATGTAAAACTGACTATAGAAAACCGAATTCGACAGTCTCCATAGTTAAAATCGAGTGAGATTTTGAGAAACCCGAGTAAAACCAGAAAAGAGCCCCTGTTCATATTAGAGTATATTGTATGCATCATGTTTATATGTATCAACTGTAATCACATATTCTTTCTTTTAGTAACAGATTGAATTTACTTGTTGTCACACCTAAAGAGTTTTCCTGTTGCCACGACCTCAAAATTTGGCTACTGTTGTTAGATGACGCCTTGTACATAGTGGCTTGGCAAGAAAGCAAACAGATCAACTACAAGTTTTTGCGAGATCTGTCCAATGTATATTATAATCAACTAATTCTCTGATCTCAAGACTCAAAATACCAGTTGACCAGAACCACACTAGGAAAGTTTCCCAGCGTGGTCTAATTAATAAACCTGCACGAAATTTACAGAATGAAACATGGAGGCTTAGAACATTTTATTTGCGGTATTAAGAAATTCTACTATCAAAAAAAATTTCGCATACAATTAATGTCTAAACATTTGCGGCTTCAAATGTGTTGAATAAAAAAATGCCAAAAATGAGAACAACACTAAAACACCAGAAACATTTCATATGATTTATTCTAAAATTTCTGAGTATGATACATAATAATCTATTATTGACCATATTTTTGAATCTGATCTTGGGTAAGAACTCCAGCTGACCCGGCTTTAGTCACATAGTCTTGAATAGCGTGTTTAATTGATCCCTCTCGACTCTTCCAATTTTTGGATTCACCTAAAACAAATTATTCAAACTACGTGAAAGAGAGAAAGTACAGTACTGCTATCAATATCATTTTAAATTTTAACAAAATTCAGTTGAATTTTATTATTCAAGGTTTCTACAACACACTGTTGTCATCGTCAGGAAAACAAAATGACATACATTAAAATCATACATTTAAACTTACAAAGATAGAGAGAGAGATAAAGAATAGGAAAATGTGTTTATACATTCAATACGGGTTAAAAACATTTCTATCGATAGAAATGTTCGAAGAACATTATTTTTGCTCGAAAAACTCCTGTAGAAAGGGGTTCATTTCATTTAGTATGAATGTCTTTTTCTTCGAAACACACGTACTATCCATTTCAATGAACCGTGCAGGTGGATGTCTTTTGAATAACTTTTTAACAGAAAGAGCTAGAGACCTGCAGTTTCCAGATTCTGAAACTAGACAATTTGGGACATGAATCTATGAAAAAGTTAGGGCTTCCGATACCGTTTACCATGGTGTATCATTCGAGACAAAATCCGAAAGCTTACCGTTGCCAAACGACACTATGAAATCCAGTCTAGAGAATTTCCTGAAAATTTGAGTCTATTTGAACGAGAAATGAGTGAAATATACGGTTCTGATTTTTGACGGTAACAGGCGAAAAACGGGATTTTCATCAATTTGGCTTTGCTGAGGTTATGCTTGAGTGGGGAATGAAAGAAGCATCGCCAAGTTGATCAGCGTTGTCGATTACCTATGATCCATGCATTTTTGGGATTTCCAGGCATGTCTAGAACTAGGCAGGTGTGTCCTCGGAAAACGTCTGTATCTCCGAAACCAAGGGAGACCAAGGACCGGGCGTTGTATTTTGGCGCTCTTACCT